TTTTTTCTAAACAAATTAACAATTTCTAAATCCAAATTTTTGGCCAAATAATTTGTTTCATTTCTAATTTTTTAATTTTTGGCCCAATTACCCCTTTTATTGTCTCATTTCTTAGCCCAACAAGATCCAACTCACTAAATAACCCTAAACACCTACACTAAAATGCATAACGCTGTCTCGACTCTCGCAGCCTCGTTCACATTCCAAAACCTACACAATCGTCGACCGACGCTGTGACCTCTGATCGAAGTTGTAACCTCCGCCAACCGAAATTTTGACCATAGCGGTCATTTAAACAAGATAATCTACGAGTCTCTGACATTTCAAAATCATTAAATGTGTCATTAGTTGTATTTATATAATGTTGTTATAAATGTTAAAAAAATTAATTATAGTACAAAATCGAACGGAACAGAACCCGAACGATTCCATAATTATATTTAGACCCAACAGTTCCATTTATTAAATACCCGAAAATTTTGGTTCAGTTCGATTCTCTTTAGAACCGAACCGAAATGACCCGCGCCCACCCCTAAAGACACGAATCAAACCTAATGGCCCTCAGAAAGAAATCATCATTTCTAATACCAATTCATGCCTCCAATTTTCTATTAAAATTTTGAAGAAATCCCATTTTCCTGAAATTATACTTTCCAGAAATACGTAATCTTGTCACAATTCCATCAGTGGTTTATGTTGTCAGAATGAAACGAACTTTTTTGACACCTAAAATCTATTTTTGGATTTTTCTCACCAAGATTTACAAGAAATAAATGCTATCTGAGGCGTGCATCCCTTATGAAAGCCGCTTATTCAAACTCTACTGTTTCAGGAAACTATACCAAAACACATCCAGAATATGTGGTTAAGTGTTGGAGAGGAGAAGATGGAGAGAGAAGTTATTACAGAGATGAAGATTTGAGTTCTGTAAGGTTTTTTGGAAAGGAAATCGCCTTGGTGGAAGAGTGGGGAGGGTTTCTATCGGACTTAGATTTGGGGTTTTAGTTAGTAGTTTAGGATGTATTAATTACTTGTTTAAAAGATTTAATTAGGGTGCGTTTGATTACAAGTAGGAAAATTACATGGAAAGAAAATGAATTCCAGGGAATTGAATTACCTAGAAATTGTTTTCATGGAAATTGTAAATTATTGTGTTTGATTGTATAAATTTTTCACGTGGAAAATGTTGAAGTAAAAATATTTTTTGATATTCGTTTGACTTTGTTTTACGTGGAAATTGTCAATTTCAGGGATATCATCTTTTACAATTATTCCTAAAATTTGTTCCCATTGCCAACAATTAAAAATAAATAAAAAAAGCAAAAAATAAAAATAAGGTGGAAAACCAAAAACCACCTATCCCCTAGGAAAAAAAAGGTGGAAAATCACGCTTTAAGGTGTTGTACCTAGAAATTCATGGAAAATCAATTCCCTGGAAAATTTTGTCAATCAAACAAGCCAAAAGTGAAAGTTGGAATTCAAATTCCAAATTCCATGGAAAATTTCGTGTAATCAAACGGGGCCTTAGATTAAAAGGGTATTAATCAAATTAGTTACTTTGATAGGATAAAAGGCCTAATTTTTCCATTTACTTTCTATGCTTATTTCAATGGATTGGTTGTAATTTGTATTGATAAATTGGTATTTTTATTTGAAAAGTGAAAACTGTAAAATTTATAAGTTAATAAAATAAGAAATTTAAAAACTGCTTGGTTCAGTTTTGTGTGATTTTTATGGTATTTTTATTTGAAAAGTGAAAACTGTAAAATTTATAAGTTAATAAAATAAGAAATTTAAAAACTGTTTGGTTCAGTTTTGTGCGATTTTTGGAAATAAAAATCTAAATCAAATCATTTTGAAACGATTTGATTCGATTTAAGGAAAAAACCATGGGTCCACGTAGACCTGAACTAATTGTTTCAAATCAACGGTTTCGGTTCGATTTGCGATTTTCACTATTTTTTGTGCAGTCCTACCTACCCCATCTCTATTCTGACCAATCGATCGATGCCTGTAGTGGCGTTGTACGAGAATGTGGCCCTCTTCTAGCGGCTACATGGAAAGGCTTTGTGCTAGTGACACCTGGCGTGCAAACCCCACTAGCCTCCGATCGCTGCAGTGACGCTCTTCGCTGTCCGTCAGCAGTTCACAAATCTTAGATCATTGCTTTTAGATCATAAATGCGTCTTCGAGATTTGTTTGGATGAAGCAAAAATGAGTAAGACGCACCAAAACTATTGTTGATTTGCATTTTTGTAATCGTTGACATTGATGGTATTAGCGAAGGTGGTGAGGTGGTGTTAGTGGTGGGTTTTAGTTTGTTAGAGATGGTAGACATGGTAATGGTGTTGTCGGTTGTCGTGAGACGAGTGGTGGTAGTGAGATGATGGTAATTATAAATTATTTAATTGATTATGATCAATAAAATGGTTTATGTGTAATCAATAAATAATATACGACAAATGAAATATATAATTTGTAATCAATAAATAATCTGTGACCTAAAGGTTTTTTAAGTTGTGACTAAAAAATAATTTCTGAACAACTAATTTGATATTTTATGATCATGAAATAAGTTGTAAGCTGTAAATTTTTTGATTTGTGACTAATGAATAATATGTGACCTATTAATTATATAAATTTGTGATCGAAAAATGAGTTGTGATTTGTAAATTTTGTGGTTTGTGACTGTGATATCAATAATTGTGACTAACACATAATTGGAACCATAAATTATATAATATTGTAACATAAATTTATTTAATTAATAAAATATATTTTTAATTAATTATTTCAAAAATAATAGTTAATTAATATATGATTTTTGAAATTTTAAACTTTATTTTTTAGTTTTGAAATGAGTAATACTTAATTTCTTAGGGGAGTGTTTAATTGTCAATATTTTTCATGAAAAATATCATTTTTTCATCAAAGTTCCCACTTTTGTACTGTTTGATTTTTTTTCCACGAAAAAATATTTTTCTACTTTTAGTTACATAACCATATTTTTCTTGAAAATAAGAAAAAATATATATTTTTTTTTAGAGAGAGTAATTTTTTATTTTTCAAGTAATTCTCTCTCATTTATCTCCCCATTTCTTATTTACTCACCAACAAAAAATAAAAAAGTATATCATTTTTTATGTTGAAAATTGAATCAATCAAACACATTTAATTGATAGTTTTTACGCAAATAAATTATAGGTAATTAAATTGTCTAAAATTTATTTTCTTTCCATGTAAATTTCATATTTACAATCAAATACGTCCTTAGGTATGAAAATTTCCCTTAAATGAATTCAACTAAACTAATGTATTTCAAAAAAGTTGTGGGTAACACATCCACCTAAAATAAAAATTAACACATTTGACGAATATTGTCATTTAGATTTATTTTTTTCCCCTTTAAACATTCTTTTCATGTGAAAGGAAGATTTGTTTCAATAATAAAATACAAGCTTTAGATGCTCTTTAACAAACAAATTTCATTATATATTTTGTTCAAACTTCAAAAAACCGTTCGGATTACATTTTTATCTATAAATTTCTTTCACGAATTAATTATTTTTTTCTCAAAAAACAAAAAGAAACCTCAATCGTCACTTTTTTAATAAAAACAAAGACTTTAGTCTAAATAAATATTTACTAAAAAATTCAAATTTTGGGTGGCTCCTTGTCTAGAGATGCAAAGAATGCAAGTTTGCAATTTGCACATGAACATGCATGAAATCTGTTGTGCATTCAAAAACAATGAAATATCAAAGTCTCTTTTGTACCACGCCAAGAATTTGGGTTCTTGTTTGAATTTTGACCCAAGATTTTATATATTAACTTAATTGTCAACTTGTTGTTTTTAATATTTTGAATAACGGGGAATCAGATCGAGAAAAGAAAATTTCTCAAAAAATTATTTTTATATATGTGTATCATTTACATCAACGAGGTAAAAGAATTACGTTAATTATCATAAATTTTGATGTTCATTTTTTCCGCATTTCTTTATAGGGTTTTTAAAAAAAAAAATTAAAATCAATGTTATTTTTTAATAATTTGAAAAGAAAGAGATCAATTACCTGATTATTTGAGTACCAACTCCCACGTGCACTATTTATACAATGGTACGAAATTAAGTGGATTTGCTAAATAGGTAGCAAATATTCTAATCTGGACAATTATTAATATATACATGTAGAGTTTTATTAAGGGTGTGTTTGATTGACATGTAAAATATTTTCTTTCCAATTTTCGGGAGTTACGGAGGAAGTTTCGAGCTCATATTGGTCATGGGTGGAGAAATGTTGTTATTTTGTTTTCTTCCAAATGAGGAAACTAGGAGCCTGTTTGAGTCACATTATAATGAGAATGAGAAATAGAGTCGTTATGGGCCCCACACTAGAGATAGAAATTCAAAAATGGTGATTTGATGTGATGGATAACGGTCATATTTTTCATTTTAATGAAGTAAAAATGTGGCTCAAACAGGGGCTAGGTATATTTTCAAGTGTTAAAAAATATTTTTCATGAAATAAAATGACAATCAAACACTTCAAAGTATTACATAAAACTTTCGTCACGCGTGATCTTATGCCTGCGTCAACGTACGACTTTATTTTTTCACGTGATATAGAACATAAAAGACAAATTTTGTAAAAAGACTAGGGACCAAATTTTAAATTTTCAAATGGGCCCGCGCGTACCAGTCGTTTTAAATTTACAATAATAATCCACAAGAAAAACTAATTTCCAGTCTATTTTGGGATAAACTTATAGAGAGAACCCTAACCCTAAAGATTATGGATCTATTCGATAGTGATTATGAGAATTGATTTTTTGAATGTTAGAAAGAAAAATGGGTTTGATCTGTGAGTGAAGAAGTAAAAGAAGATAGCTAAAATGGTAAAATAACGATAAAAAAATTGATTTTTTTTTTTTTTGAAAAATTGCTACAAAAATGGGCTATATATAATCGTATAGGTAACCTATTTCCATCAAAATATCAACCGATCCTGTTCTTCGTATGCAACTTTTTGCCCTTTTTTAATCTCTCTCGATTTCTTCTTTCAGGCCTAAAACATATCGCAAAGTTCCAACAATTTCAATTCCATCGTGAATGGTGGAAATCTCGGGTTTACAATTAATGATATCCTCCTTTTCTTCTCCAAGAAGGGGGTTTTCTGTTGACACCTCTTTCTGCTTCGGCTCCTGTATGGAAGGCTGGTATTACCGCTGCCTCGGCCTTGACCCCTGAATGAGAAACACCTTCAATTCAATTTTCCGATTCTTGTTTTTTTTTTTTTCTGTTTGTTTTATTGGATTGAATTCGTTAATCCCTTCTCTTTTTGGGTATTTATTTTCCACTTTTCAAATTACGGAAATAATTTTTGAGGGAAAAAAATTGGGATTTAAAAAATGTTGCTTTCCAAGCAGAAGAAGAATCAGGCCATGAAGGGTAACCGCTTTCTCATCAGCATTACGGTGCTTGGAAGCGCCGGTCCGATCAGGTTTGTGGTGAACGAGGAGGAGCTTGTTGCTGCTGTAATCGATACAGCGTTGAAATCTTATGCCCGCGAGGGGCGGCTGCCCGTTTTAGGGTCTGATCTCAGTAATTTCGTGCTCTATTGTCCACTTGCAGGGATGGAAGGTAATGAATTTTTGCATAATTTAAGTGTTTTTATCCGATTATATGATTATTCGTGTTGATTGAGTTTTATTCTTATAGAAATTGTAAATTATATTCCATATTTATCATTTTTGGACTACTATGTTTTCCATTATCTATCACATACTAAGATGCAAATTCAAATTAAGGCTGGTTATTTTTCCATTTTTGTCCTGTAATAAATTCTGAAAGATGGATAGCAGCTGAATTTGTTTGTTATGCAGCATATATATATATATATTTAAACGCAAGGGGATTCAGGTTATTATACCTAATGTTTTCTTCATTCTGTAATATGATAACAGTATTTTGTTGGTTTTGATTTTAGTTTATGGTTTGGGATCCTTAATTATATGTGATGGATGTTTGATCATTTCTTATGATTCTACTTTGATTCTTGCGATAGTATTGATTCTCATGTCATCTTTGGGTATAGGTCTTGGTCCCTGGGAGATGATTGGATCGCTTGGCGTTCGGAATTTCATGCTGTGCAAGAAACCTCAAACAGAGAAGGTTGTTGATAATGAGAAGTCGGTGACAATGGCTCGGAAGGGGACGGGAAGTTGGAAGGCCTGGTTCCATAAATCTCTTAATCTTAAGGTTTCTTCTCATTGAGTTGAGATCTGAATGATATTATTGCACTTGGTGTTTAAGATTTAAAAATCGCCTATCTACCCCTATGAAGTAGAGCCAGTAAGAGTTCATTCCTGGTGTAGCAGTTCTTAGTGCCATTCCTTTGGACCCAGTGACCATTACAGGAAGTGTTCTGGGTGCTTGATTTCAGTTAGATTTGAGAGTGTAGTCATCGTAATTTACGGTGACAAATAAATGTAAAACCTTTTTAGGTTTCCACTAGAATAAAATAGACTCTCTTTTGTTGTTTGGTTTACGTTCGCATCTCTTTGTTGAATTTATCACAAAAAGCAGAAACCTTAGAATAAGAAAAGTTGACTATATGATTTTAAAATATTTAATTTCTTTGAATTGGATGCAACATTCTTGAAAAATAATTTGGGTTGACCTCCGAAAATGGCCATTAAGTGTCGTTAGAAGATAGTGTATACGTGGATATATTTCACAGTATGTAAACTATTAATAATATATTTGTAGAAGAAGATGAACAGTAGGCAATGGAAGTATATTGTATTCTCTTGTCTATATTTTCAAGATCCCTTCAATGATACAAGAATTGTTTATTTATAGTGATCAAGCCGACATGGTTATCATTGGATTGGATCCACGTGGCCTGATCTGCGACCCTTAGTGTCACATAACTCTATTACATATTAATTATATTGATAGACATTTGACAAGATGTCAACTACTCTACAAACCTAGACTGACAATCCTGACACTTATTAACTAGGCACGTCACATTAGCTCACATCAATCAACTCCGAAGACGTGCCTGGTCGACCCTCTTTCTAGTTGTGAAGGACTTCGGATAGTCAAGGAGTTCGGTAGTAAAAGGTGAACCACCTCGAAAGAACTCAATGTAACGACCTCGGTGCTTCATGTGACAGTTTCGGAAGTTGATCCCTTCTATATCAATTCTTGGGTGTTTGCTATGTGTATGAACGTGAGGTCTCCACAAACCATGTGGACCATTCTGTATTGATCAGCAATTGGTTTTATAAACATTGTCACTTTATATTCTATTGCGAAAGTATCGACTCTTGTGATATAACTAAGAGATGCTTGCTATAAAGCAAATGCTGTCTTTTTACTAATTAGCTTTTTTCCAGTATAGTGAAATGTTAAATGTATCTATGCATGAAAATTGTGTTTTGTATGATATATTTGACCCTAAATTCTGCAGTCAATTGGAATTTACTTTCATTTTCTCTTCTTGGTAACAATTGGGTTGTGAGATGATGCAGTTAAGTATATTTGTGATTTATCCTTGGAAAGTACTCTGGTTTTTGATGTGGGGATGGGTGGGATGAGGAGGTGAAGAAGACACTTGTCTATGGAGTGTTGTCATTTGTTTTGAATTAAGGGTGATGCTATGTGTACAGAAAATGGTTCATAGATTTCTTACAGACTTTCACTTGGTAGTTTTTCATTCGTCATTGTCCAAACACACAAACACACACACAAAGCACCATACAGGTGCTGCCTGTGAACCAATTTCCCTATACATGGGGAATTGTTCATTAGTTATGTTGTCAATGTCTTTTGGTCGTTGAGTTGGGTTTCTTCTCTCCCCTACTGGACCAGACCTACTTGAGCAACTCAGCATATGTGCCCTTTGCGAAAATTGTTGTTTAGTTTTTTGATGGGGGTTGTGTAGTTTGGTTTAATTAATATGAAGTGTAAACTTTGATTCGCTTTTTAATTAACTGATTGACATGCTGATAAATGATTATGTTTTGTTAATGGAAACCCAATTTCTAGATGGGCCAAGTACGTTCTCCTTGTTCTATTTCAAACTATTCTAATCATGTAGACTTTGATTCCCTTTTGTAACATAGCTTAGCGTGCAAGTTGGGGATGAATATTTCTACTGTTACTCAACTTTCTAAAAATGCTGTCGAACCGTATAAGGTCTATGAGATGCCGATAAACTTTAGTATTATATGTTTCTCAATTGACATGGGACAACTCTAAAAGTTATACGAATGTCATTGAACCTATCAAAATATTGCAATTGAAAAGATAAACATAATAATATCTCAAAAAGTGTCAATAAAATTTAAAACAGCAAATGATGTAATGATCGACGAGATAAGATTTTGATAAGTTTAATGGCAATTTGAATAGATTTTAGGTATCGTTTGATTGGCAATTTATTTCCATGGAAAATGGAATTTGGATGACATTTTCCAATTTTGGTGTGTTTGATTGAGATTTATTTTTCATGGAATAGGAATTCTTGGATTTCTTGGAAATTGCATTTTTCTTGCTTTTGTGGGAAAATTATTTCCCACCATTTTCCCGGTTACTGTTGACGTTTTTTTTTTTTTTTTCTTTTTAGCAATGAAAATAAATTCTAAGAATTATTGTAAAAATATATTTCTCTTTAATTGATAATTTTTATGTAAAACAAAGCCAAACGAACTCCAAAAGATAGATAATTTTTTTGAAATTTTTTTATTTTTTATTTTGACAATGGAAATAAAGTTCATCTCCAATACCAATAAATTCAATCTTTTTAATTGACAATTTTCATGTAAAACAAAGCCAAACGAATACCAAGAAACACTTTTATTTCAACATTTTTGAAAAATTATACCAATCAAACACAATAATTTACAATTCTCAGAAAAAGAATTTCTAGATAATTCAATTCCTTGAAATTCATTTTCTTTCCACCCAAAATTTATTTTTGCAATCAAACGGACCCTTAGAGATAAATGGGAATTGGAGAAACGTGGATTTTAAAACTCAATAGCAATTATGGAACATTTGAGAAAGTTTACTGATGACATTCGACTGCAAATTAATGAAGTTTGGTAGCTAAAGTTTTGCATCTCTGAGATTTTGGCATTATTAGGAAAATTTACTTGAACTAAAAAAAGGGATTTGCTACAGAAAAAATTCAAATCAAGGGTCAAGTCGCGCCACCTTGGCCTTGTCCCCTCCCCCGTCTCTTTAGCATTTCTGGAAAAAAAAATTGTTGAGGAGAGGTAGCTCGTAACATCGAAAGGCCAAGCTTGATTGCGAAGTTAGTCTTGAAATTTATGCGCTTAAAGTTCATGAGACTTTTTAAAGTTCAAATGAACTTTGTTCCGCTAGAGACATGTAGGTCACAACATTAAAAAATTAGGGAATAAGTGCAACAAATGTTAAATTGGGGCCCTTTCTGGAACTAATCCTTCTTGAAATTTGCAAATGGACAAGGCCAAGTTTCAGATATGAGTCCATCCTCAAGCGTCCAGTCTCGACAGTGCTCAAGATGGAAAACTGTTAGAAACACAGTACACTGGACAGTGCGTTACCCGCTCTTAACCACCGCTCTTACTTTTGGGTGATCAGGCTATTTTACAAATTTCAAACATTTTCGAGATCACGATATTGATGGAAATTAAAACGATAAATTATGCTTAAATTTTATGTGGCTATATTAGTGATATCATTTATTGAGAAAAGATCTAATAAGTATCGGTGCTCATCTTATACTAAGTATCGACGAAATGACATATCTAACCTCTTGTGCATAGAAGTAATACGGACATTGACACATGATAACAACACAAGCATGGGAAGGTTAACAAACTAACCCACAATGGACAAATGAGTACTTAGAATACCAAATTACAAAAGCTAAACAAACCACACCATGCAAACTAGATTTATCGCCAAAACAAATAGAACACGTTTGGTACACCCTACTGAAAACGGAAAGATCAAACTAGACAGAAAGCAAGGTTTGGATTCTGTCTAATTTTATTCGATCCATTGGAATAAATATCCTTTCCTATGCTTTGAGAAGATAAGCATCCACATCTCTCAAGGCATTTACCAGAAACTCTAGATGAGAGTGTGGAGTGGGCACATCTTCACTGGCCTTCTCATATTCAAGGCTCCATTTCACTATATTCTTGTCACTTTTGGCAGTGGCCTCGAGTGTGGCCTTGAAACTCTTGAAATATTTTGTAACCTCTCCACCAATTAGCTCAAATGTGATTGACATTTTTTCCTCATCAACTGCATCAATCCTGTCTTTGGCAATCACAGGTATACCTGCAATAAAATTAGGCATTACTATGGTTAAAAATGATTTCATCTCTCAATTTTCAAAGTATTATGATAAAAACGAGAGGCTCGACTTGAAAGAATCCATACGTGCATATGAGTTCTTCCTTGTGTATTGTGTTTATCTAGTTGAGGGTTTTGGGTACATCCTTTAAATGGTTGAGATCATTCAACTTCTTGTTTTAGAGATGAATTACCTAATTTGATCTACCATTAATGAACAACCATAACTTAGGCGAATCGTTCATTTACTACCTCATCTAAAAGTTATAGAGGGAACAACCTTATTTATTTAATCATATCTTCAACATGTCTCTTCACATGCATGTCAAATATGTTTTCCATCAATTAATGTCTTAAACGTACATAAATTTCATAAACGAGTGCAACTCTAATATCATGTTGAACCATAGAGAGAAGAGAAGACTTATTTATTGATTTAAATAACGTTTTTAACGAATTTGTGTACAAATGGTACACTTCAAGATCCAATTACCCCTTTCTATTCAATATCTAGATGGGGAAATGGAGTTCAAAAATAATTTTCAAAAATAAAAAATATAAATCTTATATTAAGAATATAAATGACTTTTAATGACAAACCAAGAACATCGATTTGACTTTAAATATTGGAATTCGACCCCAAAAAGATAAATAAGTAACAGTTTTAACCTTACCCATGACATAAGTCCAGAGCCTGACAGAACCAACGCTGATTCCATCTCCTTCAATTACCTCAATGCTCTGCAACTTGTCTGGACTAATCTTTGGCATGAGGTAACTTTTGTTCTTGTATATATCAAACACTCTGTCAGGAGATGACCTTGTCTGAGTTTGGACCTCAATCTTATGAATTTGAGCCATAATTTTACTACTCAATGAGCAGAAATTGTTTATGACCAAACAACAATGTTAAAATAGCTTGATGTCCACTAGGGAGATTGTGGGCTTCTTTATAATGCCATGCAGAACACTTGGTGAATAATTCGGCATGTTTGGCTATGCTTAAAATAAAAAAGTTATTTTTTTAAAGTAACTTATAGCTAAAACTTACATTGGAGAATCAAAAAATATTTCTTTAATACTTATCTACTTGTAAGTGAATTTTTAAGCTTAGCTTTATTGAAAGTAGTTTGCTTTCTCGTTCCAAATAAAAGTTGAGAGTAGTGGCAAAAATTTGTTGAGTATTTGTTCAAAATCAATGAAATGATAGTGGGCTAATTGGTGATCTCAATTGTGGAATTAATAGAATAAAAAGAAATTGAAAAATGAAAATTTTGGTTTTTTGCCTATGCGTACGCACATGCTTAATTTTGTGTGTATACGAGATGCGTTTTGACTAAAACAGAATCAAATTTGCTTCTACTATGCGTACACAAGGTTTATACTATGTGTACGCATAGTGTTAAAAAATAGTCATTGGCTACTTTTTCAATTTCAAATTTGGGGGCCGTTTTGGATTAAAAGTTGCTACTTTTCATCTTGTTTTTGCACCATTTCGTGGTATATTGATTGAGGCCTATAAATAGGTGATGAATGATCAATACAAACATATTAGAATTATTGAAAACATCTTAAAATCCACATATCATTCCATATTGAATCAAACTATTGATTTACATTCATATTCAAGATCTTTTTTCGTATTCTTAAAGTTTTGAAGGATTGCACTTGCGCTTTGGTATTAAATCATTTACAAGATTTGATATAATCCTACAAACCGTTTGTCAAAACCCTTAAACATATCATTCAATTTCGAGAGGAGGCAAATATAGTTTGAGAACAACGATTAAGTAATCGAGTCTTCATATTGGTTATGTTCTTCATCTTCTTGTCACATTTCTGGTAGTTTGCTTTTTATCCAATTTCCACAGTTGATGTAAATTTTCCAACAAAATTTTCCATAACTATAATGATCTATCTATGTCTTCTTTATTTTATTTGCCATTAAGAGACAAATTCACAACAATTTCTCAAAATATTCGAGCACTCACAATTATAGATGTTCCCATTTGCTTTTTATCGAGCCACCCAGAAAAGGAAAATGTCTTTTCTTTCTGCTAATAATGTAAATGGAGAAAAGAATGACTCTTGGACCCTCTTGCATCGACTTCATGGATAGTTGAGATGATTAGCATCTAAAGGTAATGTTTGGTATAAGATTCGTCGAATACACTATAATTTTTAATATTTTTCTTTATTGATATTGTCTAATTTTCTATATATCATGTCAAAAGAGGGTCTGCAAAACACTGCATGATCGAAAATGCGAACAAGGGGAATAGAATATCAACATATCTTAAGGTAAAGTTGAATCTCACTTAACATGCATGGCCTCATATACTTTTATATAGATGGCCAAATACAATTTTAAAAGTGACACATAGCAACATGACAACAAAAGCCAAACTTCTAGTACATGAAAGTTGAAGTCAATATTTAGCCCCGTTTAGTAGCAATTTTTTTCCTTGAAAAATCAATTTTTTTTACCATTATTTCACTATTTCAGCTAGGGATGACAATGAGGCAGGCTTGGACACCCCGTCTCGCCTTAGACGGGGCGGGGACAGGGTAACTTTTTGCCCTATTTAATTTTTTTTACATTTTCAAAGTTTCGAATTATATTATTATTAGAGAATAAAATAAAAATTCAAAATATATTTTTAACGGGTGAATTGTTTAGAAATAAAATTATTTTTAATGTTTTTTTTAAAAAAAAATTTCCTTCACGAGGCCGCGATGGGATGCCTCGCCAACCCGTTCGAGGAGGGCGGGTTTTTTTACCATAACTAATTTCAGCAATCATTCTTTACTTTTTCACTCACAGATAGTATTTACTTTCTTTTCAACGATCAAAAAATCAATTCTCATAATTCCCATAGAAGAGACCCTTACTTTTAATACAATAAGATAAGTCATGTATTCTGTCACACTCTTTCAACCTCTGTAACGACTATTTTCTTATGTGGTAGTCATATTGAAAGTGCAAGATGCAAAGAACAAACTAAAGGTTAATTTTGAGTAAATTCGGAGATTGAAAACAGAAATAACAAATAAGGCATACAAATTTTAAATTTTGAGTGATTTACTTTTAATTCTCTCTCTCTCTCTCTCTCTCTCTCTTTCTCTCTCACTAAATTTAAAATACATTTTATTCATTCCATGGTCACATAGTCAATGATAATTAACATTTATAACAACGAAAAATAACATTATTCTTTTACTGAAGTGGGGTATCAAAACATGACCTGCACTTCATTTAGAACTATGGAATCAACTTATTCACTACTAACTTTCTTAGCGACAGGGGTGGTCGAGTTGTATAATTAAATGGATAAGGGATGCTCCTTGCTACAGCATAAAAATAAATAAATAAATAAAAGAAGGGAAGCAACAAAGAAAAACAAGACATCAAGAACATCTCTAGGATACTCTCTATTTTAAAAAATCAATACTTAAAATAAGCTTCTAAAGACTCTTTATTTTAATGTTTTAAAATAAATAGTGGGTTTGACTCGCCAAATTTAGAGAGTCAAACTCACTTTTTATACTTAATTAATAACGATTGCATTTAATAAGTTACAAATTTTAATACTCTATAATTTAAATATTCAAATTACATTTGAATTGATTGTCAATTAACCTATAAAAAAAATTATTTTAAATAAGAGATGAGAAGAAATTAATAAATGTTTATTGAAACAATAAAATAAAGACTCAAAATAGAAAGTATTGTTGGAGTACTGCATAAGAAAATTTGTTCTCTAAATTTAAAGATGGCCTCTATTATGCATAAGATGTTCTTAATTTATAAATAGAGAACCTCTTGAAGATGCTTAAATATGTTACACCAACTTGCTAGAACTAGCACACTATGGCTTTTCAACTACCTATAGGTCCTTTCGTTCCCTCGGTCCCTTAAATCTTTACCTTGGGTTAGATCCCCTTTAAGGCTCTATGTGGCATTGATAATTCTTCTGTCCATCGCCTCATGCATTTAACACATAAAAAGGGGATAACATGCTGGCATATTAGGGACCATAGAAAGCATAATCGTACTAAAACTGATCGTAAAGATCCAAACCCTGATACCCATAATGTAAAACAGCGATTTGGATCTTCAAAGTGGTTGAAAACCTTTTCAATGAATAGATCCAAAGGAGATGCAATTTCCGAATGTAACTGCAGAGGCCTTGACAATTAATTACCAACAACCATATCCAACGGTTCAATCTAGCCCATATACATTACCTTTCGGATGATTTTGAATCTTAATCCATTTAACCTTATAACCTAACCCAATATATATGCTGTTTCTACTCTAGCCGTTTAGCGTATGGTTTGTGAGAAACAAGAAGAAAAACGTGGTTGGTCTTTCCTACAAAAGTCAGCTGCCATTGAGAAAGAAAAAATCGACGACTTCCCATTGATTTTGTGGTCTCTTCCCTTGCCTTCTTTCGTTATTTTTCTTCTAGCCTTTGCGACTACAAATTATCACCGTTATCTTGTCTTTGTAGGTGAGATTGAGAAGTAATCGAGGTGAAAATATTGGTTGTGAGTTAGAGTCATTTGGATTGGTTGTTGGTAGAGAAAGATAACGTAAAACTAAGTCCGAAAACACCGTTTTGAAGATCCTTAAAGCAAGCTTCTACGACAATAAATGCAAGAGGCAAAAAGTGAATTTTAACGAGTGACGGATGTGTAACACAACTTGTTATGAGTTTTATATGTTGTATAACAATTTAGCCCTCGTTTGATTCTCATTATTTTCAAAATGTATTTTTCCTTTCTTTTTTTCAAACACACATTTTTCAATAAAAGATATTACATGCTAACCTAAATTTTTTTCTTATTTTTTAATCACAGGGCTTATTTGAGCCATATTATTTCATAATAATGCATTTTTGAATAGTAGATTGATAGGGAATGTGTGGTTAAAAATAAAGAAAAATTTTGGATTTTTGTTTAATATTATTTTATTGAGGAATGTGAGGTTGAAATAAAGAAAGAGAAAAATACATTTTGAAAAGAATGGAGATCAAACAAGGGCACATTCTTAATCAATTTACTACTTTTCAATAAAAAAATATTACATGCTTACCCGAAACTTTGTCTAATTTTTTAATCACACATTTTTCACCAATCTACTATCGCAAAATGCATTCTTATACTAAAATGGGCCTGGCTCTTCACAAATGTTACAAAAAGTGTAAACAATAGGAACACTTTGTGTTACAATTTAAATTTCTTACAAAAAGAATAACAATTGTTACGAAATGTGTAATACAATATTATCGAAATAAAATATATTGAACAGTAAATGGGAAATAGCTTAATTTTTAGGTAGAGCGTGAAGTTTTCCCATACTTAATTGGGAGAATTTGGGAGCTCAAAATGGGTTTTGGGATTCTTGAATGTAAAAAGTGNTTTTAATCTATTTTTAATTTATACCAAACGGGGAACTTTTTCTAATCATATTCATCTCCTAGGCTATTGATGGCCCATGCCAACAGTATTAGATCAGCTCAATGATCTAGGCCCAACAAGGTTCTCCATACCCTTGCTCTACAATCTCCTTTCCGGGATTCCTAAAAAATCTCATTGTCGATTTTCTCAAATTCAGGTCATTTCGACTCCTATCTCTACCCTGTTGATGGTTGAGCCGTTGAGGTAGTTGAATAAGAATCGTACACATTGTCAAACTCTTAGGGATTTACGAAAATAGAGAAATAAAGTTATGATATGTAAAAGAGGAGAAATTGTGCTACAAATTCATCATTTGCCTCACTTTAATATTCTTTGAGTAAATTTTTCCATAAGAAGGGGAATATGCCATTGTTTTCACCATGTTTGTTTTCATAGTTAATTTATGTCTCTATCTTGATTCGAAATATTGCATTCCGTTACGTAAATTCAAGAAGAGATAATCGAGTACTACATCGAATAAATAATGAATAATGGTAATTTTATCTGTTAAAATTTAAAATGACAAAGGTGATTTTATTTTTGAACTTTACCCGGAGCCCATGGTCCTAAGCTGATAAATCCTAGGCAAGATTTGGGAACTTTTAGCTAGTAACGTGAGAATATGCCGCACACGACTCTTTTGTAAGGAAGATTCTTTCTTTATAATACACATCTCTTGGCTCTATATATAAACCCCCGAAGAACAAGCCATTTTCTCTCTCTGCCACAAATTCCCACTTCTTAGGTAACAATCTTTCTTCTCTCTTGAATATTTCTAATGAAAACTTCTATTTTTATGTTCCTTTTTCCTGATTTTAATGTTGATATAATTAATTTTGGGTGTCTGATTAGAAACCCTTCTGGGGTTAATTGTTCTGTTGTGTTTTACATGTAAATTCATGCGTTTTGGTTCAGGCATGGAAAAACTGTTGTGGGTTTATGGAAGTATTTTTGGATTGAGTAATTGTTGTAGTCCAATCTTGTTAAGTTTTTTGTGTGGATTTCTTATTCTTGCGCACCATACATGGATGGGAATGCGATTTGGGTCGAAAATCTGTGGATTACTGCATACCCCGAGTTCTTGAATCTATGTTGATTTATGGGAAATGCAATTTCAGTTTTGCTAAATTTTGTAATATAAGTAAATTTGTATGTTTGGGATGCCACGTGGTGGTTTAACATGATATAAGAGTTTGAAGCAAGTTGCCGTTGCGGAAAAAAGTGTATCCAATGTCCAGCGCAAGTTGAAGACTAAATTTTAATAAATAAAAGTGGGATCTATCTAACGACTTAAGCTTTTAGATTAGGTGGTTTAATACTCTGTGTAATTTGTACATGGTAACACAGTTATTATACATTTAAACCTATCACATCTTCCCCTCACTTCCCTTGAAATGAAAAAGATAAAGAGAAACAATTAACGTTTTAGATTGTTAACCTGACTTGGGATGGGTAATTCTGCACAAGGATCACCTATATTGTTTTTGTCAAGGAAACTCGGAGAAATGTCGAACTCGTGCAAAAAATATTGGAAGAGAAATTATTTATCTTGTTCCTCAAACATCTGATGTGTACAGACCTGTCCCATAAACCGATGTTGAAGGGGAGTTAGAGAATGGATGTAGAGCCAGATTAATGAAAGCAAGTTTTTTTTTTGAAAAATGAAGCTTTCAAAAATTCCCAGTTAAGAATGCTTTAAAGCAAGAGCAAAAGGAGAATGCCTTATGAGGAAATGATTTGGGTAAAAACTATTTCTAGCAATATTAAGCATTTTGCTAATGATTCTGAGTTAGTTTGTTTCCAACCTTTCTATATTAATATATTTTTGTCTTGAAACACTAGCCGTGCGTTAACACAGTTCTTTTGTTGTCTCATTGAAGTTATACTTAATTGTGATTCAAGAATTGGTGCATCCACACTTCTTTGTATTGAAGCCTTTATGTTATTACTGGCAATCAGTCTGATTCAGTCGACTGGTTGCCAAATAGCATATGACTCCCGAGAATGCATTGAAGCCCAGTACGGCCTTAAATGGAGTGCAAGGAGTCCATCTGGTGCCTCACTCACCGTTTGCATATGAAGAGATAAAACATGATGGCGACTTCCATGAATCTACTTATGGAAGATCTGACTTTAGCTATAACCAAAGGCTAAGAGTACAGTGAGTGAAGAGTCTGAGATTTCATTCTACTTAACATATGATTGTACAATTTAAAAGATAATAATATTTATTTTATTAAAAGATAATAATATTTATTTTATGGGATTATTTACCAGGAAAGTATGGCAGCAAAGACCTGCTTGTCTGAGGCCAATCCATGGTTGCATGAATGGTATTTTGAAGACAAATTCAACAGCTGTTGTAGATGAGGTATCTTCTTGGTGCCTCTATTTTCATTTCGTATGCTAACATAATACAATTTTCCTGTTAGGCGATAAACATCTTGCAGAAAGAGTCGCTAATGTGCTAACTTCACTTCCTTTCATTGCCCTTGGAATCCAGGCCCCAAGGTTAGAATTTTCCTCATAGCATGTTTGGTGAGGAGGATTGGATAGCACTAAATAGTATTAAAGAACAAAATAAAACTTAAAACTCTAGTTTATTAAAACTGTTGAGTCCTACTTCGAAAAATATAAATAAAAAGCTGTTGAGTCCTATCTAGTATTGTCTATTAAACATGCATTATTATTATTATTTTTTTTTAATAATAATAAGTATAGGATCTATATAAGCTTATCACCTTGTATGTCTTTGCTTCACTAATGCTGCAGGAAGAATTTAAATTGTAAACTCTACGCTAATTCATTAATTGGAGTGGGAATTGCTTCCAGTGCATACCATGCTTCAAGAGGAAAATTGAGAAAGTATCTCAGATGGGCCGACTATACAATGATAGCCACAGCAAGTGTGGTGAGTA